CCAGTCACGTTCTTGTTGTCAGTTTCTATCCAGATCGCCTGAGTGAATGTCTGGGGGTATAGGCACCTCGGAATGATTGTGTTAAGCCAGCACCAAGTCTCTTTCCCGCCTACCTTCACTCTTTTCTCTACAATAAGGCTTTCAACTAGATCATGGTTGTATGGCGGTGAAGCATCGGTGTTGAACACTGATGTCATGTTGTCGATGATGATGATTCTTACTGGGAATCATCAACAGTGCGCACCAGCGGTGAGTTTCGTACCCGCGGCCTCTGAGCCAGTAGTGTGAACAGTTGACCGTGCGCAAGAGAGCGGCTGATGAGCAGTGTGACTAACTCTCACTGGGACAAGATAAAGCGACGCTCATCCTTCAACCATCACTTCTAATGTAATACCGTTTCCGGCTTTGGGTAGTCGGAGGCAACTGATCCACAGGTCGCCACAACCACTGACCTGCACATGAAAGTGTGTTACAAGTTCCCATAACGATTCAGGCACATTTCTGGCATACCTTTTGAGACCTCCTCACGCCATGTTTTGAGCATCAGCGATACGAAAGTAGATTCTGGTTCCAAAACACTGAAATGAGTAGGTATCGTGACCTCCTGCCTCGAGGTTATCCTAATGTGTGATCTACGGTTTCGACACCGTGAAACGAGGTCAGTTTAGTGTGATCCGGCCTGAGGACCGGCTACCATTTTGACGGTGATACTACTGATGGGGGAGACATGCGAGCAGTATGTTTTCTTGTGAACTCGCTTCGCATCTCTTGAAAAGTGACATCTATTGCTGAATTTGTGGAATCGTTTTGTAGGATTTGCTTGCAATTGAGTAACAGTCAATGAATATCCAGAAAAGTTCAGGAAGACGCGTCCAAGGGAAGGTGGATATTCAGTTTTTGTAAACAAGATGCATATGAAAGTTTTGCTTCCCTGTCCAATACTCTGTAACTGTTGATTTGGCATTTTCTAATAGATGACTCCGCACTAAAGGCCTTCCTTTTCACCATCTGATAGTTGGGGTTTTCATCGTGTGCCGACGTCTCCGCAACCTGACTGTTTGTATGTGTGATCCGAACCGTAGCGTGGTTTGCTGACACCCGTTTCCGCTTCTGTCTGTCTGATCGAACGAAGCCGGTGCACCATGAGGTTCGCCCTGAGTCTCGCGTGCAGGTAACCTGAAGCCGGTGTAAATCCCAGGGAATGAGACCGAGTAGGGGCAGTTCTTATCTCACCATATTGCACAATTGGTGGTCCATACTTGTCAAGGGTGAACGGTTAAGATCCACAATGCATGTGCACGGTGGCCCACGTCGCCCGTAAGATCTACTCAATTTATGAACATATGGCTCACTACTACTCAGCTTGGTCTGTCCACTTTTAGCTCCGTTTTAGGCTTAACACGTGGGATTTCTCACAGTGTTATTGCAGGTCACGTGGGACGAAAATGAATACACCAAGGTAGAATTAAACACAATGAAATAGAATGCGATAAAGCGCAGTAAAACAGATTACAATAAGTTATGATACGATGCAGCGGAGTATGAAGGCCATTACCAGCAAACTCAGCTGGGCTGGTCATTGCCCTCTTCCTGGATGGGGACCCCGAGACGGGCCATATCAATGGTTAGAGACATTGTCAGACATGGCCCAGTCGCGCCCTTAATGGCGCTCGTGCATCCAAGCTATTGTCTTCAGTGCATAGCTCTCTTCCCAATCCCCCCACTTAGCAGTCCACTGGCAGTGCCGTATTTACGCACCGAGTTATCACCTCCCGCCTCTAACGCCCAGCTATCTACCCCACCTCCCCGAATCATCGGTGAACGAAACTGTGGCAGCCACAACCACTGTACGATGAGTACGCGGTTATTACAGCTGACAATGATGATGATGCATACCAAGTAGAGAGCAAGGGACAACCGCGGAAGTTGCGGCGGTGATGCTCGCCCGGACAACAGCGAGCGCGCTATCTACTACCCACAACTACGCTCGTATACACGGGCTTCCAGAGTGACATAATCTCGGTCAAAATGCCACTTTCAAAATCTCGGTTTCCTTTTGACTCACGTTTTGCTCAGTCTTGTTGAGCCTGTCTGAGAGGTGTGTGCTATGAGGTGTAGAGGTTCATCTGAAGTTACGAAGAAGGAACTCGTAGGAAGCACATCCCTTAGCGTCCGTGTGTGATCAGCACGCGACAGGCCAACCCGGAAATGAATGTCATCCGAACATAAGGTTTGTTCAATAAAAGACCCTATCTGACCTTGACCTGTTGTTAATGTTTCTCTGGACTGCTGTCCGTTCGTCCGATAAACGGACTGTACGGTGGAAAGCCAATCTTTTGCATACACGTTCCTTCCAACCTGGTAACTCGTTGACGTGACTTTCGTGTCAGAAGCGAAACGTTGCCCAGAAACAGATAAGTCCACCGACTGTTTGGCAAGCCTTTTTGAAATCATAGGGACACTGTTCTCTCTCTCTCCTGATTCTCATCATCGACCCAACCACTATGTGTTGTACGGTTACAGTGCTGCCTTCCAGGGAGAACGGAAGTCCTAATTTGGTTGCCTAGTTACGACGATTTAGACGCCATCAACGTCATTAGCTCTATACGAGAGTGTACAATCTGGAATAAGATCTCCATAATTCAACTGGGGTGACTGGAAACATTTGTCCCTTGAAGCTTACATCGTACAAAGTTCACAGTACTCAAAATTGTGATCAACGTTACTTTGTTTGATACGAAGCGCTCCCTTTTTGCGTGTATGTTTGATGGATGAGCACATTTTGACCTCGGGACGCATAGTAAGTACACCAGTGTTACCGGACTAAAATATCGGTGAGAAGATAGTTTATCTTATTCTTGGGTTTACAATATTCTGGTCGTAGAAAAGCTTTAAGAGTCGGTTGGCCTGGCAACAGGGCAGGTCGCAAAGAAAGCACCGAGGTACTGGGCCGTTCCTCAGGACTGGAGAGCAGCATGACATCAGTGTTCACTATCGGTGCTTCGCTGCCGTACAACCATGATCTAGTTGAAAGCCTTATTGTGAACAAAAGGATAAAGGTAGATGGGGAAGAGACTTAGTGCAAGCCCACCACAATCATTCCGAACTGCCTACACCTCTTGACATTAACTCAGGCAATCTGGATAGAAACTGACAACAAGATCGCCACTGACATCGGTTGGCAGCCATATCTTGTAGTGTCTCCAACCAGGCACAGTGGGGATCGCGCGGTTCCCATCCTGGAAGGCGAGTAGCACCGACAGCACCCAAGCGTTTCGTGATCACCTTCATACTCCTCTGCCAAGTCAAGAGTTGGCCACCTCTCTGTTTGCGCCACTCTGAGTTGGGCATGGAAAATAGCACTCTCTTCGGCAAACGATGGTTCGGCACGCGTAAAACATGTCCTGACCAACGCAGCTTCTGGTACTGGACACATTCTTCACTGGAAGTACCCGTTACACAACCGAAAACACGCTTTCTAACTGCCTCATTACGGATTCGCCGACACCAACCCAAACGTGCTATGATTCTGAGACGACGATTGCCGAACACCTGAAAACAACGCATCCTCGCTGCTCGAACAGGCCAGGCTTCACAGCCATACAACAAAACAGCCCGTACTGTAGCTTGGTACACACGTTCCTTGAGACTCAGGGTTGCACCACTTTGACGCCATAGGTGTCTCAAATTAGCAAACGTAACCCGACCTTGCGGATTCATGCGTTGACCTCATCTGTTACACTACATTTGGAACTGATTCAACTTCCAAGATACGTAAAACGCCCCACCTATCCTACCAACCAGGCATGTTCCTTCACTAGTCATCGAATTCACTCGAAAAAGGGTGAACTGTCATCTGCTACTCATTCTACACATAGATAATTTCAAATCTCGTTTCCGGGACAATTATTTGGCGCTTGGTGTCCGAACCAACAAAGCGTAGTTTGAAGGAGAGCACTCTCAATAA